CCCCCTCCCCCTCCCCCTCCCCCCAACAACCACCCTGCGAGGTGGGCTGGCCCGGCCCCGCCCGGCCCAGAGTCCCCCAGCCGGCTCTCCTGCCTCAGGCCGGACTAGAACTCGCCGCCGGCCCCCCGTTTCCTCAGCAGTCGCTCGTTCGCTGCGCTGGACTGAGGGCGCCCGGATCCTGGCCGCGCTCCTCACGTTGCGCTTCTCCCCTCAGGCCGAGGCTTCCTTCTAGCCCGCCCGAGACGCTGCCGCAGAAGATGGGAAAGAGGGACCCGACTTTGCCGCCCGGCCTGCGGCACCGCGTCTGCCCGAGGCCGCCAGGTAGCCGGGGGAGGCTGTCCGCGGGAGGGAGGCCCGGGAAGAGGCGGTGGGCGCAGCCTTGGGGGGCCGAGAGTAACGAAAGGGCCGTCCGTGTAGGAGAAGGGAAGAGCGGCTGCCTGACCTAATCGAGGAGTCCGGCTCTTCCGTTCTGTGGCGTCAGTGGCTTTGCTGCCGGGCAGCCTGGCCAGGTATGATGCGGCTCTGCACATAAGTGCCCGTTGCACGGTTTCCTTTCCTTGGAAATAACGTTGCGCGGAGTACAGGCAAGTAAGACGCAGTAAGCCAAGGAAATTAAAGGCAAGAGGTAAGGGGAGGGAGCATCTGTTTTCTCATATTTAGCAAACTTTATCCCGAGGTAGGCAAATCCGCCTTCTTGCTCATGTTTTTCAGTTTATGTACAACTTGTAATTGTTCATTATATTTTTCCTGTCAAAGACTAAGTACATTAAGCTAATGGCATATTTTTGCCTTACTTCCAACTTAACGTTGTTGAATCTAAGCACTGCATTCTCATTTGTGCTCCTTCAGCTGCCCCTGACATCCCGCTAAGCCTCCCCTTACCTGTGGGGACCTCTCACCCTCAGCGTCTTCTCAGCCTCAGTGCTTCTGGCCTCAGCACTTCTGCCTGGAACAACTGTGTTTCAGTCCATACAGAGACCAAAACTTGCATGTTTCAGTTCAGGCACAGACTATCCAAAATGAGCTGTTCATTTTTCTTTGTAAACCGTCAAATCAGCTATGTTTTTAGAGTTATATTTATTCATTTGCCGCCTACGTGAATGAATTGACATGTTTAAACAAGATGCTCAAAACAAACATTGGGTTCAAATCAGATACTCATGGAATGGTATTCTTCATTCTGGGCTTTAAATAGTTCAGTTGCTTTTTCTGTATTCTCACCTTGTTCACACTCAACAGTTTTCATTGGATTCAGAATGTTGCACTAGAGATAAACCACCTTTACACACCACTCAAAAGAAAAAAAGCTAAGAAGGAAGCAAAAAGACCAGAACACATCCTCTCTAGTAGCTTATGCCCAGATAAGCAGGGATTAACACCAGACAAACAAGCAGAAAACAATACCCCAATCCAGGCACTACCAAGGAGAAAACCACCCCCCCACCAACAGGGGCAGGGCAAGCTATTGTACATAAACGAGCAAACCCCACACTCACACTAAAGACGTTCCCTAGTCAGGTGATGAAACATTTGCAAGTCAACAGTCAAGCTCAGAGAGCACCAAGGATTACACAGTTCAGCCCTGCACTACAGAGATTCTCTTCTATTGGGAGAACATCAACTGTTCTGAATTCTTATTTCCATATGCATCCACAGCGACCTATTTTCATACTAATTAGACTTTCTCACATATAATTAGCCCGTTCACTTGTAAATGAACATAAACCTTTGTTGGTATATTTTGTTAGATCAGACTACTTTCATTCAGATCTCCTACATTCTTCTTTGTCTTGGTTTCATAAATAGACAACATCAACTTATTTTCATTGTATTCATCTTTGTTTTCATTTACTTCTTTTATGTTCCAAGTTGTAATCTTCCATGCATGATGGTGATCACCAGATGAGCCCAGAGCAACCTCTGCCACCCATCATGACTTTGGTCAATTGAAGCTCTCTCAGAACACTTTTTAGTATAGAGAATGTGAAGATTAGGTTACCAGTCTTAGTTGTACCTGTGCCATGTCACCATTTACTGCTAGTGGTAAGGATAGTCCTGGTCAGTGTGGGCCCCTTTTTCCCCCCAGGATGCCACAAGTACCACTCGTGCAATTCTGTGCAAGCTAGGGTCCCATAATGTAGAGACTCTCTTGCACAGACATACTATTTATTGCCTGCATCCCGTTGACTAGGAGGTACACAGTATATTGACCTACATTCCAAATGCTGCTTCATGCATTTCCAGACTATTTTGAGGATTTGGTGTGGCTGATTTAGGCTGAGTCAATAAGCTTTCCTTTTTCTGTGCAAATAAGATTACCTTTTCCCTTTCCAGGTGTAATGTCTCCTGCTGGATGATGTAAGCTCAATATGTAGAGATTAATGAAAGGTGAGTCTTTCTTGTTTATAAGGACAAGAACTTTCCTAAGCCAAATATCAGCCAATGATGAACTCTTTAATTTTCTGACACCTCGTATGAAAACTGCTTGCAGTTAGTGATTTTAGGCATGAACTGAGGCTTGGCATTATTGATATAATACGGTGTTGGGTCTGAGCTGAAATAGGAAAAATTGTCCGTTTAGAGCGACTTCCAACAACTGGGGCCTTCCAGCTGGGCAGGGCCTCAGGTTATCAAATGTGTAAATTGCCTGGCCCAACACCTGTGGAACACTTCTAGAGTTTTGGGAAGCTGGTTTAGAAAACCAGTGTGGCACTGAGTTTTCCTTTGTTCTCTTTTTAGAAGCAGATGGGAACAGAAGAGGACAGCTATTGCAGCACAGGTAACCAACTGACTTTTTAAACCAATAAAGATAACATTGTTTTCATTACCCACATGTGGGAAAAGTCTAAAGGCATTCTTTTTCTCGGGAAGACTGTATTTGCTGTGTATTACTTAGCCGTTGTTGAATCCCTGGGACAGCGTTAATATCAGCATCGGGCAGGGAGGTTATGGAAAGGCGACTAGTAATGGTTAAAGGCCATCCAGTTGGTTGTGTGTCATTTTTGCAGGTGGGTTCATGTCCCTCAGCTGAAATGTAGCGGAAGGCAACGAAACCTGCTTTGTCACCAAGCTCTGAGTCGTGGAAATGGTGCGTCCTCCCTGACAGAGAAAAGAAGAAATGTAAACTCAGAGTACAGAGAGTTCCAGTTTCGTGTTTGCATTACTCACACATGCACAAGGAGTGTAGAGGTCAATTTGGGAATCTGCAGGCTGCCTTCACCCTGACTTGCTGGGCCCCTGCATCTTCTGGAAAGAAAACGCTGCTTTCTGGTGACTGTTGCTGTTCCTGGGCTGTTAAAACATTTTCCCGTTATTATGACAGCAAAAAACCATCAATCAGGCGTGGACACTATCTGCACCCTTTGTGACAAGCAGCATGATGAGCAGGGGTGTCAATTGTGCAATGTACATTTTTGCACAGGCATAGAGAATCCCTGCCAGTTTTCTGCTTAGCTGCTCAAATGCTGCAGGGAGGCTAGAGGACAAAAGAGTGGTGCTTCTCTGTGTGGCAGTTACAAAAAAACACATATGCCTCCTGGTGACAACTGAGGAGTCTTGCAGAGTACTGGGAATAAGATCACAAACAATAGGTTGAAATGGGGAACCCAACATTGGGGGTATATGTTGTTTAGTCTGACAGTGAAGCATTTTGGAAGTTAATGTATTGATAATTATGTCCAGTATTATTTTTCAATGTAGAATTAATAAGATATAATGCAGTCCGCTAACAATTTGTGCTTCATTCTAGTGTAGCATATTACAGTTATTACTCTGGTTCTGAGCAGTTCCCTCTCTCCAGACCAAGGACCTGTCACATAAATGGTTGAGGAGAATCTTTAAACACTATCCAAAGCTCAGCAACCTATGTATGTGCTTTCTAATTTTTTTTTTTTAATCCTTACATGGTCATCAAAATCTTGCAGTATTTCAGCGCATGCACCCACAATAATTTTAGCCAGTTTAAAAAGATCCAATATATTGTTCCAATATATGATTCCTTGCCACTAAGAAAAGTATTTAAAATAAAATGAAAAATCATTGTAAAGGACTTTGAAAGTTCATTAGTGTCCAAAATTCTGTTTATTACTATTTTCTTTTGAAATCTCCATTATACATCACTTAATTTAAGCCAATTCTGTTGTGGTGGAAAAAGTGTTATATGATCCTTATTTGATCCTTCCAAGAATAACAAGTTGGAGACTCACTTGAAATTTCTAATAACCCTGCAGTCTAGACCAGTTTTTATCAACCTTTGCAACTTTAAGATGTGTTGACTTCAACTCCCAGAATTTTGGGGGTTGAAGTGTGCACATCTTAAAGTTGCCAAGGCTGAGAAACACTGGTCTAGATACAGTGAGACTAGTTAGTTTTCAGAGTTGAATTGGGGTCTTCCAATTTTTTAGGAGGACAGAAAGGCTGCTCTACATATTGGTAATGCCATGTTTATATGCCTTGGTGAACCCAAAAAGTGCTGAGTTCCTTGAAGGCAATTACTTAGAGTTTGGGACAAAAACCAACATTATTCTCCCCCCCCCTTGCTGGATTGTGTCTGCTAATGCTTCTGTCAAATGTGTGACAGAAATGCAGACGTGCCCTAACCTCCAAGTCACCGGATTCAGATTTCAATTGAATAATGATGAAATATTGACTAGAAAGTAACTGCATCAACTACAGTACGTGCCCGAAGTTCTTGTTCCTCTAGTCTGAACAGTAAACAGTGCATTCTAAAGCAGAACCATTAGCTCTGAATCAGTGTTGTCCAAACTTGGCCACTTTAAGATGAGTGGACTTCAACTCCCATGGCTGGCT